GGTGAATGATTAATAAATATATTGGACTATAGTGCGGGTTATTTGAATACTAAATGTTTCTCAGACTTTGTAGGGTAAAGAAAATCGTATGCTTATAAAATATTATATTATGTTATATATATATAAGATGTACTCAGTTTGTCTCGTACATTTTCCAAAGTAAGCTGTTTGTCGACTATTCCTATTTTTATGTCCTACTTTTAAGCGTCTAAACAGATTAAGTCATGAAAACATTTGTGATAACAATCACGAAGCAAAACGACAAGTCGACAAGGTGTGCCAATCGCAGATCCCGGAGCAACCAACTACCTGCCATAACGGTTTACCTGACATCCCTGGCTCTGTTAATCGTCCATCAAGGCCACAACATGGTCCTGTGACCGGCGTAACAACAACTGGGCCCGAACCGCTGTCGACGTCTCCTCAAACCCAATCACCCATACAGATTCAATCAACTCTACCGGCCACCAGTACCCTTTCTCTTTCGCAGTCAAGACAACGATCACTCAATCAGCGAATTCGTAATCAAAGTCAGCTTCATATGCAACGACACCAGCTGCATCAACAATTGTCACATCAGCCTCAACAGGCAGTTTCAATTCAGCCACAGTCTCTCTCGACTATCCATTTCCCATCAGGACAAGAGTTACCTGATCAACCGCTTCAGAGGCAGCAAAAGCAACCCAATGCAAACCCCTCTGTACCAACCGGTGACACAGGGATTGTCACAGCCAAAGATACAATTAAAGCGCCATTTCCATCTACAGAGTCTTGTCCATCCGTGACTAAAGGGCAATTGCACAAATACGCCTATGAACGTCTCTTTCAGTTGGGCCCATACGACGACTTGGTAAAAAGCCATTTAAATCCGGCTGATCGGAGAATCAAGGCGGTTGCAGCAAAAAATGGATGTTATATAGGCATCACTGGACCAAAACTTATCCATCCAGATCTTGATTCTGCAGGTGGCTTTCAAGCAAGCAGAGCTCGGATCACTTATCAATGCTGTGTTGCTGGGCCGACCGGCGACAAGGTGAACAAGTGTCTGAATTACCTGAAGGAGACATTTCCAAATTCCTTCCTTCGTATCACCTTTCGTTGTTAACTTGCCCTAACAAAGCTCATCATCTGCTCATCCGTATAAATACACATTGCGTCTAGTCTGAAGGAGAAGATATTGTAAAGGGTTTGTTTATGAGAGTTGTTATATAACCATCTGATTTTGTTGATGAACCAACTATAACTTTTTGACCGGATATTTCAACTCGTATATAATGAGGAATTTCTAATTAATGAAACGATTATTTCAAAGTTCGAAGGATTAAATTAGATTTATATATCCATCATATGTGCGTATGAACATGACAATATTCTCGAAATTTTCATTGCTAAACTTGTCAATAATATTGATAAAGACCCTGCACTAGCAAATTCTTTTATCCAGCAGCTCTTGTAACAGGTAATGCAGTAAGTCACATTGATACAAGAAAAGAACCAAGCACGTGCATCTTCCTGGCGCTCTTTTTATATAATTATTTACTATTATTTACTTTCTTACTCAATCCTCTCGTTTCATACTTTGTGAACGCGACTTAAATTTTATATTTAGGCTCATGGACTTTAAAATCAGATTAAAATTAGGAATCATACTTCAAGTAAAATAAACTGGCCCTGGTTTAACCTTATATATACTTAAATACATAGGCTCTTCTCTTTTTGAATCTTAATTATCTCATTTAATTTCTGCTAAACGTCATCGTAAAGATATCTTTTTTTTAGTTTATTTAAGTTAGTTCTGCAAGCTTTATCTCTAGTAAATGCTTACAAATTAGCTCTTATTTGTTAACAATTTTTAATTGACAATAATTTTCCATTATGGTACCCTTCATTTTTATAAGGACATAGTTATGCCAGTTGACACTATTAATAATTAGTAAATAGGCTTGTAGACAAATCGGAATAATAGCGCTTAGAATAGCGTTGTAAGCAATAGTTGCAAACTATATTTAAGCATATAATATTTGGAATTTTCGTTCAGTCCTTTCATTTATGAGATGCCACTCTCACGTAGGTATTGGGCTCAGTGTTAAGCCAACCTGTTAGAATTTTAGTTAAAACCGGTTACATTATTTTTCAGCTGTACGAATTGAAGTATAGACAAAATATTCGTAATATCAAACAATTAACGACCCTTAATAGCGATGAGCAAATGAGACTGTTAATTCAGTTTTTTCTTATAATTCTGTGTAATTTACTTCATAACTTTCTTCAGCTACCAATTAATTATTTTTTTTAATTTAAGTATGTACTTGTATGCATATAAATCTGTATGTTAGTGTGTATGTATGTTTGTGTTTATCCAGGTTTGCATGTTAAGTCTCTTCAGTACTATACCAGTTTGTCTGTTAAGAAATTGCTTATTAAGCATTAACGGATAGACAAAAGTCTATGTCAGGAAAGGGCTTGTAACCGGCAGCGTTTCATTCGAGGCTGACGTCCGGCACCGGCCTTATCGCAGAGAAATACTTTCACGTGACATTATCACATGAAATAAACTTTTGAAGGCGTTTACTCAAGAGAATGTCTCTACAAATATAAAAGACACGTGTCTTCTTTTTAGGTCTCGACTGGCGAGGAATGAGTAGAGATGAACAAAACCTTCATGTAAACGAAAAAGTACCTCTGGAATTCATAGCATGAATATGCATGTACATATTGTTAATCAGTGATGCTGAGCTGATTGTTTTTTAAGTATTCTTGCAAAACGTAACAAATTAGGCAATAAACATTATCTCTTATCAATTTAAATGCTC